TACTTGGTTGTATACAAGAACAAGAACAGGAGTAGATGCTCCACAATGAACTCATCAGTATAACACGTAGGTGTAAATGCCAGCTTGTCAGTTTTTCAAAGTTAAAAAGAAATCCATATTACTAAAACTGTTCCCTGTATGCTCAAATTACTTATATTACACTCAATACCTACCAGCAGGTGAGGATGCTGGCAGAGGTGAAGAGGATGATGGGTACTGGATAGGAGGCACACAGCAGCCCGTGGCGGTAGAAGGCCGCTGAAATCTTCTCTCTCAGCTGCTCGCGCAGCGTCATCTTGGTGGGCTTGGTCAACTCCCGGCCATTGGGAAGAACTGGGCGGCCGAGGACAGTTCGCCGCGGGGCATCCAGGGACCTACGAGTGCAAGCGAGTCAATAGATTCACCGAATGAATATTTAATTTCACACATTTTAAAGCCAAAACTCGTGGGATGATTTTGACTATAAAATTATTCATTTTAAAACTTTTAATCCAGAGGGGAATCTGGTATAATAATTAAGTCATTTAATGATTTTCTAGGGGGGAAAAAAATGTCTTATATACTCCTATGAGATCTGAGAGTTCAGAGAAAGGGGAAGGGACAAGGGGAAGACTTTATATTTAAGACTAAACTTGTTATGGAGATTCATCAGACATAGTGAAACTGAGTGAAATCCTGTTTTATAACTGATAAATAATTATTTGCATACATAAGACAGATTTCCTTTTCAGACATATAACATTTGACATCCAAAATTACAACACTTTTTTTTTACTTCAATATTTTAGTCTAAGAAAAGCATAAATTCCTTCCAGAGAAAATAGATTGTACTTTTAAATATTGAGATTGCTGACACTGCATCCAATCAGTCTAAATAATGCAATCTTATAAAGATGTATTACAAAAGCAACAGTTTTCATATTTTTAAATAACTGGCACAGTTGTCACTGTTTAGACGCAAGCACATGTGGAACAAAATAGCAGCACAGAGGCAAGTTTTATAAATATTGTCATCCCTCTCTTATCAGGCCAAATCGTGTAGTGCATCTCCACAGACTAACACACAGAAACAGAGGTCAGCTCTGTTACTGAGAAGCTCTGTCCTGGAAAACTAATTTGTTACACACATCTTGTGGTGCCATTCTTACTGCTAACTAAAGGCACAGTGTGGTTTTTTTCGTTCAAACCAGCTCATACTGTGGTCACATGCTGCATAGCACTTAAACACACGACTCATTCAGTAGCCCAAAAGGTGTGGACACATTCCCCACGGTGGAAAATATCCAACTGTGGTACAGGAGTGAAACATACATGCTTTACTGGTCACACCTGGGGAAAATTACAACCTCCACGTTCCCTGAAACAACCGTTTCTCAGAAATTTCCTGTAAAGTTACATTTAGATAATAATGCACAGGAGGATATGATGGTGAAAATGGAAGAGGGTAATGTTTAACTATTTAAAGAAATAAAAAAATAAAAACAAAAACAACACAGGTACTGAAAAGCTATTTGTAGAAGACGAATTCATTAAGTCATTAATCATTAGTCACCACCTAAATATCTTTCGACCTTTGGACAGAGAAAGCAATTGGAACACATATCTGACTGCTGGACTTCTTAGCAGTCTTCCAACATGAATCATCCTTTGAACCAGTCCTAATATTTCCATAGCTATAAACAGAACAAAATGCTTTTCATACAACAGGATGCCCCGAAACTCTGAATACAACAGTCCTGTATGCTCATTATTGATGCTAATGAATTCTAGTAGCTGAACTTTTAGGTAACTTTGATGATCCCAATTTATCCAGCCATGGTACAGCACACATACTATGTGCCATATGGTATAAAGGAAACAGCTAAAGGAAACCAGCAAACTTGTTTAGCTATTTCCATCGTTTGAATTTTAAAAGTTAGATAGTTGTGTAGACCACATTCTTTCATCCATATTATAAGAACTGAAGAATTGTTCTCTGGCATAGGCGCACATTTTATACACATTATATGAGTATCGACAGAGATATGTACAAGTACACAAAAAAATATTTTTAACTGACACCATGCACTGATAATTTGTCAATCAACCAACAGGTTAACATACTCTTAACTCTGATTGGCATCATAATCTCTGGTTTCCATTCTATACAATAATAATCACAATCATGACAACGTCCGGAAAGTGACCATCGTTCAAATAAAGAAATGTTAATGTTAGGATGATAAACTTCGCCTTGGAATGAAGTAAACTACCAGACTAACTGCTTGAGTTTGATGTGACTTATCTGAATTCAACATTTGACTTCTCCAGCCTGACCCCCCTAACATGACTCTGTGCTTGCACACTGATGTCAACTCAGGTGGAAAAACTGAACTCTTTGACGTAAAGGTGGTTCACTTAACAACAAACGCAATCACCAAATAGGCCTCCAATCGCAGTTCTCGTTTCCCTGTTTACTCAGTCGGCACGTTCAGAGCTGCCTATCAGTGTAAACACTGCTCTATTAAAATATTTAACTGGGTTTCCTGGCACACATACAGCAGCTGGATTTGTTCAGTATCTTAATCCACCCGCTCTCACCTCAGCTTCTAAAATCATGTCAATAAGCAGCATGAAACTGTTAACCAAACAGTGTTGTTAGACAAGTTAGACTGTTCTAAGAGCATACCTGCCAATGGGAGACCAGTTTATCTCTCTGGCTTGCACCCGCTGAAGTCCCCTGAAAGCAGAAACGGTGGGTTTTTTTAGCTTTACGTGCGCTTTGTGGTTAACACAGTGCTCCCTCCTCGACTCAGACAGACTGTGTAATTGCTCCGCTTGTCCCCCCGAGAACAGCGGAAACATTCCCCGGGAGGAATTTGCCTCAGGAGTCTCTTGATCTGCTGTTATAAATACTCCATACAGTAAACACAGCAATGTCCTAGTAACCTTGCACAATAGGTGCAGCAAACGTTAAAAGCAGATTTTGAAGTAATGACTTTCTGCTCTCAACCTGGTCCTGGTTCCAGGGGCCGTCTTGCCAGGGAAAGTTTTCAATGAATGCCTCCATCTCTCAGTTGTTTGTCCAGCAGGGTAAGTGGGTGTAGCTGTAAGGCCCGATTTGGCAAAGGGTCAGCACCATCTCCGTCAGTGAACTAATCCCGGATTGAGCTGATCGGAAACTCAGCGAGCAGGGCTCAGGACCTGTAGCCATCCCCCATCATCTCCCTCCTCCTCTGGCCAAAGCCGGCCAGCGTACTATTATGCCAGTTACAGCAAGCCAAGACATTCACCATCTCAAGAGCATGGTGTATTTGAGAGAGGCTTGACAAGTAAAATGTAACAACTAGGGCAGATATATTAACACCAGTCACAGGTCAAGTGCTGGTAAGGAGTAGCCTTTCTCTTATCTTCAGCCATTTTTGGCAAGTGACCAGCAATTATTCAGAAATTCTATTCTGTATCACAAGATAGTGTTTGTTAGGGAACACCATTGTCTATAGCTGTAGTACATTAAAAACAAAATATATTATATAACACAAATAATATTTCCTGACTAAGTCAGGGACAAAGCTCAGCTGAATGAATAACCATGTGCATTTGTGAGTATGTGCTAACCAAATAATCTAAGAAAGAACAGCTTGTATGCATCTTACATGAAAACTCAGCACATTTACTCACAAAACACAGCATTTCACATTGCAAGTGCAAATTCAGTTAAGGAGATCATTGTGGACCTCTTTAGTGTACCTTTCCGATTAAGACTAAGGTAAGACTTTGTCAAAAAGCACAAAGCTAAAAGACTGCTGCTATGAGAAAAATGGTGCACGGAGTTTATAGATGCAAATTATCAATAAAATTTAGAAAAGCAAAGCTTACCTCTTTTCAACACATGCCATGAATGTATATTCCTTAAACAATATTTCCTCATAAACTGCTGCAAATCCAAGCACCATACCAATACCCACAAACATTCCAGCAAGCATTAAGCTGTGTCCGTTCTTTGTGGCATAATTGCATCAAAATTCAGTGACATAGTTGCATAATTCTGAGGCATGCGCCTCTGATAACTGAGGACCATTAGTCCTGCTATAATTGCAGAGAGCAGCTCAATATGGATGAGCCGACTTTTACAACCAGCGCTGATGAGAAAAGAGGGTAATGTCCTGTCAATGAGTAACCACATTTGAATAACAGATGGTGCGTAATAGGCGGTCTACTTCCTTACAAGCACCTCTCTCAAAATACAGTTTTTAAAAATGAAATATATCTTGGTTAATTGATGGACATATACTAAATTACTTGCTAAAGTCTTCTTTACGCTCTAAGGTATATTAAAGCAACCAGGGTTGTGAAATAGCCATGACAAGACAATGAACAACTGCAAGAAGGATGATGCAACCCTGTTGCAATATCACCTGCTGGTAATCACAGTAATTATCAAACCAACAATCAGAAACCGGCAGGGATTAATGAATAAAATCAGAAAGTGCAGTTTAAATGTGTACACGTCTTAATTTCATTTATAAAAACTAACATTAGAAAGTGCCTACCAACAAATGTCAAATTGAGCGAGAAGACACCACTCACCGAGCTGAAGCAATGATAAATTATGTTTACATGCAATTAAAAACCTCAAAGGGAACAGTTAAATCTCACCGTTTGCCCTGACAGGTTTATATTCCATATGAGAGCATCTAGCTTTATTATTAAAATGGCATGTGCAAAAAAGGCTAGCTGACAATATCCACCGCTACCTCATCATGGTTCATTAAATAACACTTAAAATGCCTTAAACATAAGAGCAGAAAACAAGTGCTGAACAAACAGCTATAATGATGATAGATCAATGTGTTTTATGTATTATGTAAAAACTTACGATGTCATGAAGCTCAGGCTAAACCTGCTAGCAAACAATTAGCTTTGCTAGCTGTAAATAAACCCGGGTCCCAATATGGACCCACGCTTTAAGCTTAAAAAAGAAACAAATTGTGACAGTTAACATACCTCAATTAACACAGCTGTCGCTTATAAAGTACCACAGATTGATTCCAACAACGGCGCATAATAGAGTAAAACTACAAGTAGCATGCCTGGTGTTAGCACGTCGTTAGAGTGCGCTCTGAGATGCTCCGGGTTCATGTGTAAGTACCACACTTAAGTTATGAGCTTATTCGAGCCCGAAGACGGCAGCTTTAATGCTACATTCATAGCAACATTGAGTAACCTACATAATAAATAATTCAACAGTTCCGGTACTTTACACTTACACGAAGCTAAGTTTCACAGCTAATGCTAGCAGTGCGCAGCTCAACTTGCCTGGGCAAATTTCAGAGTCCCTCCTAATGATGATGCTGTTGTTGTTGTAGTTGATGTTGTCCTCGTGGTTGAACTGGTAAGCAATCGCTCTATTCCTTCGGTTCCAGATTTTACTAAATGCTAACGCATATGCCTCCCATTAAACGCCAACATATAGACGCACCGTCTCAGCAGTTACTGGCTGTCATATCCCAATGAAACCTCTCCCCTTCGACCTCTCAACTTGCACGCTGTTACAGTGGGGACATCTAGTGGATATGATGGCGACTTTTTAACTGGTGTTTACTGGCATCCTGTGCAAATTTAGGAACCAATTTCCTGTTTGAGTCTACGTGTCTGTGGCTTCTAGGCTAGATTATTGTAATTTATTATTATAGTGAAACTTGCTTTTATGTATGGGTCAGAGACGGTTGCACTGAAAAGACAGAAAGCAGGGCTGAAGGTGCCGGGAATAAGTACATAAGAGAGACAGATCGGGTTGTAGTCAGAGTTAGAGGGACAAGCTTGAGAAGGAGGGATAGTGGCTATATTGGACAAGGGATACTGACTATGGAGCTTCCAAGGATGAGGGAGCAAAACAGGAAGACCACAGAGAAGATTCATGGATGTAGTGAAGGAGGGCAAGCAGAGGGTTGGTGTGGCAGGAGAGGACTCTAGGTATAGGGTGAGATCGAGGCAGATGATCTGCTGTGCTGAACACTAAAGGAAGTAGTCAGAAGAATTCTTATCAGGATGCCCTGATATCTTTGAAGACCTTTCAATTCATCCAAAATGCTGAAGGAATCAAGAGTACTAATATGAACAAAGGAGGCTCATAACTCTCTAATATTCTGTTCATTGACGCCCTGTTAAATCCTCGTCACTTATACAGCGCTTAATTACTGAGGTCCATCATATTTTGAAGACCACGTAGTTCCATACTATCCCAACAGACCACTTTTCCTCACAACTACAAGTTTTAAAAATTAGGATGTGATGGAGAGCTTTCCATTTTGGGTTCAAGTGACACCCTCTCTACTTAGGTGACCACTGAGGATACTCCAGGCATTCAAGTACCACTATTAGATTGAATTAAGATTGTTTCTACTTACTCTTTGGGCTCATTTGGGCTTTAATCATTGTTAACTATTCCCACCTGTACCTATCTCCAGGTGTCTGCCTTCAGAGGTGGATTACCTCCCTAGGTAGGTATGTTTCTGCCAGAGGATTTTTTTCCAGTAAAATTTGAGTTTTCTGTTTTTAAGTGCTTACTCATGAGGTAGGCTTGGTTTCTCTCCAAACATATTTTACTTGTGTGTTTTTCTTACAATGTAATGTACCCTGAGACAACTGTTGTTGTAAAATGTGTGCATTTAAATAAGAAAAAATGAATTCGATTTTATTATATTAACATTCATTGGCAACACGGCTCCACAAAACTGTTCTTTGAATAATACTTTTATTCATTAACAAGATTCTTTCAAACCACCAGCAATCCTGCATTCTGAGTATTTTGTTGAGTCGTCCACTGAAATCGACCAAATAATGACAACATCACAAGTCAGCATGATAATAACTCTATCCTCTGGAGATTCAGAGGTCTGGAATTGGATCACAATGTCCTTCCATCACAAGGTTTGGGATCCAGACACTGTTTGCTGACAGCAGTGACCAGCCATGGCCAATTCACCAACCACTTTGGCAGCATTTGCTATTTGCGCAACATGAAAACATAACAGTGGTTGGTCTGTTGTCACGTAAAAGAGACTAAATGTGTGTCTAAGGGTATAACTAGAGAACGGCGCTGGATGTCCCAGGAGCAAAGAAGGAGGCTCCTTTATCGTGGACCTTGTACTGAAAAAGCTTCTTCTGTGTGTGCTGCCCATCGCCTCGTCTCCTCCTCCAACAAACCTCCACCTGGAAAAACAACAGTGCACCTTGTGCTAAATTTGATACTGTTTAAGGACAAGAAATAGACACTAGATGGATTTTGTCAAGTACAGCTGAAATGAGATTAATAAAGTAATCAATCAACAGAAAATTAATCAGTAATAATGTTCTTAATTACAAAAATGTTAATCACAGTTACCAAAAACAATCATTTTACCCTCTTTCTGTTCAAATATTTGTAACTCTATAACATAGAAAGCTCAAATCGATTTTGACTTGTTAACTGAATCTAAACACCTGGATAATGAGCAGATCTGTGTCTCTGATGTGTTCAGTCTGAATTAGAAAATTTGCATCCACATACACACATACCTGACCGTGTATGTCCCTGCAGTAGCCAGTTGGGAGACCCTGTACATGAAGAGTGAGGCTGCACTGGTGGGTCAGGCCCTTGAGGAGCCACTCTGATCCCTCATCACTTCCATCATCCTCCGCTTCTTCTCCATGACAGCGTACCAGCATCACTATGTTCCCCTGCAGTGCAGACATGTTTATAAGAGTATTTGTAGAATCCACTGAGTTTAATTTGAGGAGAGGACTTTTAATGAAAGGGCATTTTGGTCTAACCTGTAGCTGAGAGCAGACTGTGGCTCTGCAGTAGTGGCTGAAGTCCAGCGCGGCTCCAGCGCTGACCCCCAGACTCAAAAGCACACTGACGTCATCCACCAGCAAAACGGGAGGACCCCACTCTTCCACCCCTTCCTCCCCACCACCATCACTGCTCACACTGGACCGCACAAACTCATACAGCCTCTGCAGGCCAACGGTAGGATCTCTGGGGACAAAGGAGGTGATGCTGTCTGACTAGTCCTAAAGTCAGTTGAGGTTTTTTTTTGTTTTGTTAACATGTTATTTTTTTTAAATACGTGACAATTATGCAATGAAAGTTATAATGAGTA